AGGTTCCAAGATAATGCATCACAATAACCTCCGATTTTTGCTTTTAGTGACATTTCTCAACAACTATCAAATGAATTGCAATACAATTAGTGACAGATATATATGTCTCTCCTCTAGATAATTTCTCATAACTTTGTTGAAGCCTCAATATTTTATATTTTGATATCATCAGATCAAATTTAGGTCAAATACTCAAATTTTATTTTGTCCTATCTGATACTTAGTAAAAATCTGAATGCCAACATGCTAAGAATACATGATGTCATAATGTAAATCAAGTTGGTAAAGTTTTGTTTTACTTTTGCATTAACACAATTATCACAGTGAGTTCATTTCGACATATAATTTATAGGCATTATGTGCTGCTGAATAATTTTTTAATATTATTAAACTAATTGTCTTACATCCAACTCAAATTAGTGTATCCAGTCTGCATATTCTGCAGTGTCATTGTGACTTGAGGGTTGGGCAGCACCCAATCAAAGAAAACTGGAAATACTGGAAAAACAAGTTGGTTTGGTTTGTAGATTTGGGGTTTTGTAAATTGTCTAGAAAACTTTAGAAAGAAAAATATATACTGAATATTTATTGCATACCTGTCTTACAGTCTGAATGGAAACCTATAGAAATAACTTGCAGTTGTTGACACAGGACTGATTTATTGCAGCCATATAATAATTAATGAACCAATACATCTACAAACAAGCAAAAACATTTTTTTTATAAAACTCTTCTTTGCTGCAAAGTAGCAAAGTACAAAACTATCCATCACAGTAAATGTCAGCAGGTATGATTTGCTGAGAACCAGAGTCCAGATCTACCAACTACCAAAATTAATATTTGCCCAGTTATTGTTCTTATCACCGAGATGTCTTGTTGTCTGAGCAATATTTGCTTAAAAGCCACACGTGCAGCAGAAGCAGCGCACAAAGGGATCATTATCTCTCCCACTGAGCTTGATGAATGGCGATCTAGCTGCATTACACATATAAACATGAGTAATACCTGCAGAACAATATGATTGAGTTTGTCTTAGAAATTAGCGGTGGAGGCTAACGTACTGCACACAGAGGGAGATGGATGTGAGGGAAAGCAAGGTCAAGTGATGAACATGTGTCGTGTTTTGACTAAATTTGTTTCAGGGATTGACTTTGAGTGCTCCTGTGTGTCTGATCGGTAACAACATGATTTGAATATTCTTCCATTCAGAGGGTGGAAACGTGTATTTAGCGGTGAAGTGATTCCAATGTTGGGATGTTCCACTGCATCTGTCGAGAGAAACCACAACTGCTGATGAGTCGGTGTTGGAAGGGCGACTGAGGACTGAATTATACATTTACCCTATTGCAGCATATAGTTTCCACACTGTAAAACTCACCACAGCATAAAAATGTAATTTCCTTTATGGCTCCCCACATACTCACCCATGCATGTGTTACCAATATTACAAATACACATAAAAACTTTATTTCCTGTTTTACACACTTTTCCTGATTTCCATATTGAGCATTTTAATGGAAACAGAACATCCCAGAGCAGCTTGGGACAATGTCTGAAAATCAGGTCAACCATGAAAAGAACAAATGTAGCGTGTTGCTCACATAGATTTTAAATAAAGACAACGTGTCTCCACTCCTACTATCAAGAAGTGAATCAAAAATATCCCAGA